TTGTGCCTGAATTCCGCATTTGGGAAACATTCTCATATTCAGTCGAATACAGCTACACCTTGTCACCCCCTGAACTGATGAACTCTAGAAACTGCTAGTGTCTGTACATCGTGTTAATGCTTGCACGCATTTCTAATAGTAATTTTCCAAAAATTTGAGAAGGCGCCTGCTTGAAATCATTGTTTCCTCATGATGACCATTTGCCAGAAAGAACAGTTTGTCATAAAATTTAGTTCTCTATCTAAACCAAGTGTGCTTTTCAACAACAATTTTCGATATCTTTTGGATAACTGCAAATAATAGACCGTATAGTACTTTTAACCCGTTTGTCCTTGTACAAGGTTCCCACAGTCATTGAAAATCCTGAGAAAAACCAGGGCAAGGGCTACAATCCTGGACAAATCTTGTTGGAACTTAAAATTTGATCTGATAGAGCACTGAGAAGTGTGTTTCCAAAACATTTCCAAAATAAAGTCTACAAATTAAAATCACATACATTATGGGGATTTGTTCAGGCTTTTTGAAGGTGAGCAATGAATATGGACAAAAATTTAAGTGTTCAGAGCTCAAATTTAAAGAAGGATCTACCTTAATTTGACAAATATTGAACCAAAACACAAAAAGGGACCATGTGTAAACACTTAACAATGTTTTCAGTCACCATCCAAAATTTCCAATTTGTATCAAACTCAACAGACTTGTGCACATTGTCGAAATATTTGTGCCCACACTTTCAGGATCAATCATTGATTCCTGTAGGAGCTGTTGGTCCATAGATATTTAAGGTTTGTGATTTTCCCTGATTGACGTTACAGTATTACTGTAAAACAGCGCCCTCGCTTGTTAGGAAAAGACAATTTTAAGTGATTGAAAATGTCACTTTTTGATTCACTAAACCCTAAAGGGTTGTCTGGAAACATATTTTTAACATAGAAAAGAGTACAAATCACAAATGCTTTCAGAGGTAATGAGTCAGCAGTGTCAAAGGAATTCTCTTGTAATAGTTCATTTTCTGACATGAAAATGGATGAAAAGCAATAGACATTAATAGTTTTTATGAAATAAGAGGTGTAAAAGCAAGGAGCATACAATGATCCTATAATTTTGGAAGAAATGTCTCAATTTCTGCTGCAACTTAGTTCCTTTTGTGGTTAATTTCTTCCCCTGGACCTCCTCATATGAAAGCTGTGGGTATGCCCCAGGAGAAGCAGACCATGATGCTGATGAGAAGAGCGCCCTCGCCTCTTCAAAGTGGAGAGAAGGAAGATGGAGGACAAGATCCTCTGGGGCATAACAGAGATGATTCTTGTGAATGCCAAGGAGAGGAAGTAACTCGGACGCCAATCCTCACCTCCATCACTGAGGAGAAACAGTTTCCAAGATTGCATGAGGGATCCTCATTAGAATCTTAGGCATCCATTCACAAAAAGGCAAGGAAAGGACTCAGTCTTCTCAGAGATGCAGTTCCTTGCTTCCACCTTAGTGGTGGAGCAAGTCTGTCTGCTTTTGTACACTACTCAAAGAATCAAAGGATCATACATAGTGATTAATAATTTAACCAATGGTATTCACATCGCAAAAAATGAGCGTCATTTAATTTGACTATTTTCTGGCATAAAAAAACGAGAAACTTCCACTACAGAGTACTGAAGTCTCACGACACTGAAAAAAAACTTTGGTCAGCACCTTGTCTAGGTCCTTTACAGCCCTGAAAATGATGTACACAAAAAGTAATGTGAGTGCGCTGTTTATGATTAGAATGATAGTGTGGTAATGTGAGAGTACTGTTTATGGGTAAGAATGACATCATGGTAATGTGAGTGCGCATTTATGAGTTAGAATGATATCGCGGGAATGTGAGGGCACTGTTTATGAGTATATTCTGGTAATTTGAGAGCATTATTTGTGATTGTGAATCACAGAAATGAAGCGCTTTAAAGATGTATGTATCTCAGCGTGGAAAAATTACATGTAACTGTTGAGACCCTTTTATTCAGTAAAATAATGCAATGTCTGACATGTATTTGTTTGCAAATCTTCCCCCAAATCACATATTTTTATAATTATCTGTAAAAATGATGATTGATACAAAAACTCTAATTTGTGGTTGTCAGGACATTAAAAAAAAAAACCAGCTGCCCAGTTTTCCAAAACCTAAACACAAACTGGTGAGAGGTCCAATATTTCAGTCACTTTTTTTCAAAACGTCCTGAAGTGAGACACATGTGTACATCATTTTACCACAATAGGGTTGTATAGTACTGGCAAGTCTCATGTCATTGTAACCCCCCCAACTCTCTAAGACACTCCCACTCTCTCACCCCATTACCTCAGAGTTAACCCATCCTTAATTTATGTGCAAAGAGAGTGAAAGGTGGCCATTTTGAAGTTGTGCAATACCTGAGCAATATACAGGACCCAATGCTTTTGACCCTTCCAGCTAATTGGGCTCTCAAACATGACTAACCAATTGCATCGTCTCACATTCTATGGTGCTCAGCCAAGCATGAACACAAGCTTCAGTGTACAATATGTAAAGTCAATGAGGTACTCTCCTGGCTGAAATTTTAAAAAACAAACGTCTGATCCTTTTAAGTTTTTTGAGTAGTGTATATTGGTATACAGTACAATGCTGCTATAATGAACAGGGCAGGGTCCATACACAATGCTTGGTGTAGCATACCTCCCCAATTATTGCGATTTCATTGGTACTGTTCCAATCGTCGCATTTTCATAGGCCTAAAAATCAAAATGTTCCAATTTCCATAAAAAAGGGGGAAAGTCCTGGCAAAAGAGGGCACCAGTTGCAGAAAAAAGAGGGCGCTATTTCCTATTTTGAAATGTCAGTTGTTACACGTACATGCGTGTGTCTTCTTGTTCATGTAAAATAGATTCTCTTGTGTGGCTGCTTGTTTTGCTGTTGGATCATAACATGGCCGTTCCAATTTCGGAGTTTATTGACATCTTAACTTTTGAGTCACTGTCATCAGTCCTAAATTTTTTTCTTTAATTTAAAGCAAATTCGTGATGTTCAGTGAAAGTGAGCAGAAAATTTGGGAGCCAAGAGGCATGTTCCGTATACCGAATTGTTCAG